GCCGCGCGCGCTTGGCGCCGGGTTGCTGGTTCTGGCTGGTGGAGGTAGGGACGCCTGCCGCCTCCTGGCTACTGTCGGATCGAGTAGCCTTGTACAGAGTGTCCGATGCTTTCTGGCCGGCCTTCCGGATCCGAGCCCGCTCCTTTCGACCGGGAAGGGAGACGACGCCGTTTACGACCGAGGGCCTCGCTGGGCAGTCTGTGTGGCCGGCTTGGAAGGGGCCGCAGCAGTTGGGACACTGGGGCCTGGCCATGCAAGGTCCCGTTTCGTGTGAGTCGGAAGGTCTTCCGCAGTTGCTGCAAGTCGGTCGTCGTCCGCAGAACCGGTTGGCGTGGTAGCCCTGGCAGCCGGGGTCATGTCGGATGAGCGTCCTTCGTTTTTTGATGGGCAGAGATCTGCCGCTTTGGTTGAAGAGCCTGAAGGGCGTGACCTCTGATGTGAATGATATGAGCCAAGATATTTCGTTCGTGACTGGGTTGGGCCCAAGGCGGGACGGTCGAGCAAGGACAGGCTTCTGTCCTGTCTGTGCGAAGACCTCATCTTCAACGAGTGTGGCTGGGTCCAGGACGTCCCCGCCAATGCTGTGTAGTTTTGTTGGGCATCGCGGCACAACGTATGTGTGCCACTTGATAGGCGTCTCGACTTGGTGGGCGCCGAGGCATTCCGCCAGCTTTGCCTTACTTGTAAGTAGTCTTTCCTGTATTTGCTTGTTTCGCGGCTTCAGAGAGTAACCTGTGCTGATATGGTAGACGTGGGGAAGGTCCGCTAGCCCCAGGCCAACGGCCTTACAGACGATCTGTCGTACGGCGAACGGTGCGATCTTCCGAGCGGCCGCTAAGCTTTCTTCCGGGACGCGGGCAAAGATGCGGAGGTCCTCCTTCGGCTGCGCCTGCGGCTGATCCTCGGCGGGGAGTGTGGCCTTCGGGCGGGCAGAGCTCTGGCAGCTCTGGCCGCTCCGGGTCGCCGCAGTGGTGTTGCCCGCCATCGGTGCGACGACAGCCGCCCAACTCCGGGCCGCTATTGGGCTTGTCTCGTGATTGATCAGTCTCTTGAGGGTTTGAATGACATAGGCAGTGGCTTCTTTCGCGATCTGCTTTCTAGAACCGTCAAAGCTGGCGACAACGCTGTCGACGGACCGTGCAATGGTCAGAAAGACGTCTTTCCGTGCCTCGTACTGTCTAGCTTCTTCTGCAAGGGCTGTCAAGACGGACCCTGTGGCAGATCCGCTCGGAGCAGATGCGGTAGAGGCTGCGGGCCCCTCGGCCGAGGTAGGGGCGTCGGTGGTGGCATCAAGCTGGCTTCCCGTTAGGCTGGGCCGGGTCGGCTGTGCCTCGGCGTCGCGGCGTCGCTTAGCTCTTGAGGTGGGGTTCGGCTCCGGAGGTGTCCCGGAGCCTGGTTCGGGGTCGGCTTGGTCGGCCGACATCAGTCCGGTGCCCGACGGCGGCTGTGAGGCCATCGCGGATGCGGGCTCCGGCAAGGGGAGGTGAAGAGTTTTCGGCTGTTAGTAATTTGGTGGTAGGCTCACTCATTCACTAACAGCAGATGCCAAGAAAAATTAGGCGAGAGGGAAGTTGAACTCGATGAACGTGTAGAACGTGAGAAACTCGGCAGCCATCATTGTGCCACAACAAGCGATACATGGTGTAATGGGGTAGTCCCACCTCTGTCGCCCGGGCTGTAGGATTGTAACTCAAATCTAAGGCAGGAATTTGTCTTTGAGTCCTTTTAGTAAGACTTGGTCGTACAGAGAATGTGTCTATTCAATTTGGTAGATGTGCTGGCCAAAATGTCACTGACGCCCACACATGGGGAGTAGGATTTCAGTTGTCGATGAGTGATATGTAACACCGTGCTACTATCAAAATGTATCTGGAGAGAATGGCGATGTTGTTAGATCTGACTGATCATTTATGTGTTGCATAATACCACTGTTTGTATCAAAGGTGCCTTAATGTGTGACACAGGTACCGGATCTGTCCTGCTTACGGAGTGTACAGGTGACGCCTCAAAAGCCCCTAACTCCTCATTGTGGAAGTTTTCATGAGATCAATCTAAAAGGTCGGATTGCCGCATATCAATAATGACAGAGACTTGAAAAGTTCCCTTAAATGGGGCAGTCGGACATTCCACTCGGACGCATGCTTCTGCAAACAAACTCGAAAGTTTTCAGCTTGTTATTTGAGTCCGAGCTCCTGCTGGCGACAAATTCATTTAGTAGCTGGGTGTACGGCATATAATCTACCTCAGCATTTGTTTCTGGAAGCCAGCATGTCTACGACAAGGCGATCTTTGGCACATGGTTGAAGCAAGTTTTACCGCAATAATTTCTGCTTCTGAGCCGAAAACGTGTCTTACATGACTAGGAACGACCAGATAAGTAAGTGAATTTTTGCTTTGTAAGAGGTATTCCTACGAATTCTAACAGTCCCTCGACATCCAGTAACTGCTTAGGGTCAACTATCATTATACTAGCTCAACTGACGAAGACACTGTAAAACAAACCAACGCGACCATGGAAATCTATTCCAAATATGAGGTTCCTTCCGACTTCTACGGAGTGGAGAATACCGCGCAGATCGCCAACAATCCCGGAACTTGGACTAAGTCGACAAAGACGACGACATTCACGAGTCGTGTCACAGCTCATAAGACATACGAGGCCTTGAAAACATCAATACGGGTTACCACGTCAAGCGCTTCTTCCTCCGTCACACCGGTTCATTACAGCGCCAGTAGAAGGTTCATACAGATGATTAATCGCACGAATCCCGTTCTGTACATTGTCCCGGAAGGCCAACTACTGGAAACTTCATTTCGCGGCATTTGTCCCTCGGGGAATTGTGTTGATGACTGCAAAAACATGTCTCGCGTATTTCAGGCAGTCCCTGACGGACTCAACATAGATCCGTTACGTTATGGGCGACCAGAGACACAAGTGTCGAACGTGACTCTCTTCGGCACTTGCAGCAACCTTGAATTTGCTACGAAATTTGCTGTTGCAGAGAGGAACACCGACTTCACCCCGTACTTTTCGACGAATGACTCCAGAGACTTATTCAACATTGCCGCAAACATGGCAAGCTGCTTCGCTGCTGCAACATGCGAACAAACGCGGAAACCTACTGTCTGCGCCGAGGCATGCTCTCCATCCAAGTTGCTGTCATCTCCAACGGCCTTTGACTATGAGCAAGAATCAGGTTTCCTGAACTGTGTTCTGAGGCTTTGCGACCATACTTGCTCTTTACCTTACGTGAACCAAGACGTGTTAGGCATTGGTGTCAGTTCTTTGCCCAATCTAACTACTGAGGGTTCGGAATATCAAATATTGACTCGGCTTTTCATTAGGTACTTATTTCGTACTACATTCAAGCTGTGGTTCTTGTAATCTGCGCCTCGGCTATCGTGGTGTCTGCCGGACTACAATTGTGGAGGGCGTCGTCGGCAGAGAAGACGATTAGAGATAGTTTGAGAAGTCCGTTGGAGACGTTCTTGAGAGTTCAAGCACTGTTTGGCAGTAAGTTTTGACCTCCCATAAGTCGCCATACATCGGTTATGCTGGATTATCAGCTGACCATTGAGCGTAGTCTCTTTAGCCATCGCTACATTCATCACGCAACCTTATGATATCGATCCATTGAACGGATATGCTCTGATTTTAACAGCTATTATTGGCTTTCTGTCGCCCGTATTCACCCTCATGTTGCTTCACAGCCACGGAGTACGATCACGCTTCTCGACCGCTTTAGTATTCGCAAGCTATTTACTCAATACTGTGACATTTTTCAGACTTATGAGAAACCTCTCGAGTTCGAAAAACGACAGACCTTTTCTGGAAAAAGCCATAAATAGCCTCTTTAGTGCTGAGGCATGTGGTGGTGGCTCCGCGATATCCCTTTGCTATCAGTTGACTGGCACAGACCCCGTTGGATTTCTTTCCGGCTTTTACGACAATCATTCATTTACAAACATGAATACTGTTACATTCCCGTGGACATGGACTACACTAGTGCTACTGGTCTTGGTCACCAGGCAGCTGGGCTTATTCAGCCAAAAGAGGCGAGACTCCGTCAGCGAGCTACCGCCTACGAAGCACAATGTCATACGCCGAAGCAAGCAATCTTGTGGATGCCATGCATTCTTCACCAACTCATTTTTCTCTTTCGCCGTACTATCTTTGGCGACCGTTGCATTCTTTCTCTGCCTTGTGTATCAATATCTGTTGGTCAAAGCTAATGCTCTGATGGATGTGATGGATCGGAATGGTTGGTCCTTCGGGCAAGTCGTGGCTCTGTTATTTTGGGTGCCCCCGATCCTAGATGTCCTTCGGTCAATGTACGAGAAGGAAAGGTATGAGAAGGTTAGGATTGCACAAGAAAGCCAGAGCTAGATGGGGAATCCGCTTGGGAGAATGGAGATCATAGATTGAAAAGTATAAAAAACTATTTCGTAAAAGCTGATTGAACTCTCGTGGGGACGCTGCATGCCATCTAATGGGAGCTGCGATTGAGCGTTCATGAATGCGAGGAATGATGAACAAGTTTCGGAGGTTATGATCACAAGCCATTTTAGAAGTGCAATTGTCTTCATCGACTTTGTAGCTGCCAAGAACTGCGCGGACTTCGGGAAAGCCTAGAGTCTAAGACTAGGGTCGATCTATTGGCGATGATTTGGCCGTCGGTGTTCTCATAGAAGAAAGTGCAATATATCTTGTAGGTCCTTTCAAATTGTGGACTTGTGAGCTGGTTGGTATCGGAGCCGGTGCCGTGAATTCCCTGCGGCTCAGACATGGCGAATGTATCAAGAACGTTTGGATGGAGAACGGTTAACGACACCGAAGTGAAGCAAAGACCAGAACCCATACAATGCCGGCTAACAAAAATCATCAAGTCTACCTACCTTACGATTCTTTTTCTCTAGAGGATATTCTATACCGGATATGTAAAAAGAGATCAAAAGTATTTCTAGAATTATAGAGATAGTAATAAGGATAAGAATGATAACGGTAAGAAAAATAACGAGAATTATAAGAATAATGGAGATAATAAGAATTATAAGAATGATAGGAACAATAAGAACAAGCCACCTCTATAACCCTTCGCTGGCTCGTAGTAGAATCAAGCCGCCTCCTAGACCTCTATACAACTTGCGGATGATCTTCTAGAAAATACTAAAAATTTCAAGGAGTTGAATGCTTATCACGGCCGTATCCAGCCTTCGCTTCCACTTTGGCCTTTTCGTTGACCGTGATAGTCGCTACGCGGCCGCTATTCCGTAAGGTGTTCGGAACTGCAGATAACTCGACGGCCTTGTCGAAGCGGCTATCCCCGCCTGGGATGGTCACAACATGCTCTCTAGGCTTAAGATGTTCGCTTTTCCCCGCCTTCTTCTGTATCGGTCATGGTGGCGAAATCGAAAGCTTTACTAGAGATTCAGAAAAAGGGGCGGGGCACGTCTTACGCCTGCGATGCTCTGAGTACCATGTTATCGAAGAGTATAAATTCTTCGTGAGTCACAAGTACAAGAACTTGACTTCTTTTATGCGGTGTAGTACCCGCCCCGCATCTGAATCAATATACCTTTTCAAGCTTAGCATGAGAGAAAGTTGAATGTACAGATGACCGCTTCCCATAATTCGCAGCTGCTGGCTGAAAAGCCTGATTATGATTTACTTGACAATCTTTCCCCGGGAGACATGAAAGTCTCCAAGTGCCTACAGCGCTCAGCGGCATACTTGCAGACAACTTCTGTGTAACCCTATTCACAGCAGCTTGTTTGTCGGGTAGCTGGATCATGCCTCAGCCGACCAAAGAAAACTGCCCGCCTGTGAACGCGACCATGTTGGTAGCAATAAATGATGAGGAGCCATCAAACTCTTGGCCAGCTTCTACCTCCCTCACAAAGCGTTACCTTGGTTTAATCTTCGCAAGCTCAATAATGGAAGCTTTGTCATCCACGACAGATTCTCCTTCTCTGGAGTCTCTTCAGCCCAACAATCCAAGTGAGGAACAGTTCATGACTTACAATGCTTTTTGCCGATCGATTTGCGACCCTCTAAGAGGCAGATACAATACCTGGGAGAGCAACTTCTTTACATTTGGGGTCCTTCATTATTAGTGGGGCTGGACATGGGACAGACGTTCGGGTATCCCGCCAAAGCACTTAGAGATCGGCGGAATCAGCTCGAGGATTACACCTGTACTGGGCTTCCCATGCCAGATGATTCGGAGGACCCCAAAGCTACATACAGGGCAGCTGGGATTGAAAGACCGGAAAAAGATTGTAGGCGTTATTTTAAGATCACTCAAGCGATACACAACAACCTGGTTAGCAATGACGTCAAGGAGGTGGCTCGGGTTTTCAGCCTTACATGCCTAGGTGATTGAGATGTAAGTTGGGGCCCCGGTCTTTCTACCAAGCCCCAGCAAGAGATCCACGGCCATGACCCCAACGATCGCTGCTACAGGGATATTGACGTTGTTGATTTCGTCACCTATTAATGGGAGCTGACAGAGTTGGCCGATCTGTTCGTAGCCAGGGTCAGGCTTCATGCGCCGTGGGGCCACCCTTGTATCTTATGGACGTGTGATAGCTGGCAAACATTTGCAAAGCATAGATGCAAAAAGTATGACAACCGGTACAGTCGCCCATTCACACTCCTTGTCCACAACAAGTTCATACTCCGGCCCACCGCAAACCAGGGACCTTCTTTTGTCCGTGTCGCTCACTACATGGCAGCAGCCATTGCATGGAGACCGGATCTCTCTAACGCACTGAGGGACAAGATTGTTGGACGCTTGGTGGATGAGATGCAGAGATACAAGAAGTTTTACCAGCATATGTTCCTTAAAGATAAGGGGATCATCAGCAGGAGAAAAGAGTGGCTAGACAAGAGTGGCCGATAGGTTCGCTGGTCTGCACCCATTCCTTTAGGGCCATCCACTTTTATGGGCCGATATTTGTGTAGTATTAGTTAAGAAGTATTCAAACTAGTGGTGTCCACCAGAAAAGTGCTTTTAAGACGTGTAACATAGCGTCATATCTGCAAAGGGAGATTAGTCGGGCTTGTTTGAGTGACTCTAGAGACCAGACAGGCGAGCCGCCAGCGAGCTTCCATGAAAACTTGACCCACTCCTCAGTTTCGTTTATTGTTCTCTAGTCAGCATCTTCAATCGGTTGATTTACTTGCTGTTAATCACAAAATAGGAACCGGATCTCAAAAATCGGTGCAAATGATCAATTTTGTATAGAACGAGCGCGTATAACAGTCGCTACCGTGGACTATTTCGTCTCAGAATGACCCCAGAATCAAGACCTTGCTAGAGGCTTAGTCCAACTCCTTGCCAATCTTGTCAAACTCGCGACGCCACTCAGCGACCTTCTCGACCTTCTTGAAGGGGTCAAGGTTCATTGCCACACTATCCACGTACACGCTCTCCCCAAGAGTGAGTTCGCCTCGCCCAACAAACTTGCCCAACTCAAAGCTAGCATACTTAGAGCTGGCGTTCGAACGGTCACCATCCTCCCAAACTCCAACTTTGAAAGTTGCACCCGGCCGGAAGAAAAAGTTGGACCCTTTGGCGGCACCACTCCGCGTTCCACTGTTGACAATTCTTGCCGAAGTGTGAGGCTTGTAGGATTCGTCCTCTTTGTGAACCTGGGAAACATTGGTTCCGCTTGGTTTGCTGTTGCTGGAGGTTCCCTTTCCGCCACTGTTGTTGCCCCCGTTCCCATCGTCACAATCGCGGCAGTCAGCACCTTTTGCGGAGCCGTGCCTTTGGGATCCGTAGCCCTGGGATCCATAGCCGTGAGAACCATAACCCTGAGAGCCATAACCCTGAGAGCCATAGCCTTGAGAGCCATATCCTTTGTGCTGAGAACTGTTGTCCTTGGTGTCCTTGGTTGACACTGAGAAAGACATGCCAGGGACACCAATCTTGTAGCCTTCTTTAGAAGAAGTGATCTTATCGTTCTGAGGCTCGGGGTTCTTTTCGCTTTCTTTAGCAGTGTTCCCACGATAGAAATCGTCTTGGGGAATGATGGCAGCATTCTTGCTACCAATCTCAATGTTTGACGGGAATGGCTGCATGGGCGCCTCTCGAACATCCTCAATGAGAAGTACCAAGGGTTTCTTCCAGATTGAGTCGTCCACCTTCTTGTAGAAGTTGAGCTTACAGCGGCCCGCGGATAGTTGCGTGTTCGGTGCACGAGTAATGACGTGATCAATGTTGGCTTCGTTTGCTGTATGAACTTGGTAAGCCGAATGTCAGAGGTAAGACTAGCAGTATGAATACACTTACGAGTTCCGTAGAGGTAGAATGGCATGAAGGTATCCGGGTACTTGTCGAGGCGATACTTGGAGTTCAATGGGCGGCTAACAACGGTCTTCCCCAACTGAACACAAACGTCTTGGAGGATGATGCCGCTAAAACCGTCAGTGGGGTCCATTTTTGACACATATTGTGCCACGAGTTGACATACTACTTACGACTCTTTTGTCATAATTTGACCATCGAAGTGGCCCTTCTGCTCAATAACATCCTTGGCCATGATCTTGCGCTGAGTCACGAGCAGCATCGGCTCGGTGGGGTTCGACTTCTTCAAAGCAATGTACTTGGCCTTCGACTTCTCGTCAAAGCTCGCGTTGACTATGAGTTGTTGTCGGTGGTTCGCCACATGAAACATAGGCAGATGGATCAGGTATATATCCTCTGTGCCCTGAATGAGGAAGCTGTGGAAGTCCGGCGCCGGTGTGTTGCGCTGCCGGACGATCTGCAAAAGCAGGTCAGCTACTGGCACCAAACGGTAGACTTTTCAAGAACAAACCTCAGTCTCCTTCGCAACGACATCATAGAAGATGTCGGCGAGTTGATTTGTGAAGTTGCCGTCAGTAGGGAATGGGGACATGACGACGTTTCGCAACACCATCAAGTCTTGTGAACTCTGCTCTAGGCCGAGTCGCTTAACATAGTTTGCCTTGCACTCTCCGTACAGTTCATCTGAGAATTCGGTGGAAGTCAAGAAGAGAGGAATCTTGGTGGGATCGTCGTCTGGGCTGTCAACAGAAAGGGCCTCAATGACTCTCTGCATGAGGTAGTTGGCCTCTTCGATATCATCGTTCAAGCGTCCGTCTTCGTAGCGGAAGTTCAGCGCGAAGGCGTTGATGTTGAGGTCTGAACCCAGACTTCTCAGGAGTTTCATGACCTTTTCGTCATCCGGTCTGGCTTCATCCTCGGCAATGATGGAGGCGTTCGTCTTTTTGACAATCTCATCCCGGATACGTTTCTTTTCGGCCTCGATCTTCTCTTCAGTTGCATTCAGCTCAAGCTCAGATGGGAGCATGTTGAAAGGCACGCAGACAAAAGGGCTTTCGGAGTCTGTCAACGCTGCCCACTCTGCTGACAGCTTCATCGAGTGTGTCAGCAAGAAACATGAAAAGATAGCACGACGAATTCTGATAATGATGGAGAAAGTGAATGAGACATACCCTGCTGCAAGTCCAAGTTACTTCTCCAAGTAAAGCACCATAGCCTTTGGCATCAAGACCAATTGTCCTGTTTGACAACCACGTCGAGACCGCAGACGCACCGGGTTTACTGCAGTGAATATGCATAGTTAGTTTCTCCTCTATCACTGATAGATCTCTTCCAATAGGTAGACTGACCTTCCTTCGACACCGTAGATGCCAATGCTGGTGACCGAGCCTCGCGACAAGTAAGGACTCGTCCAGGTGACCAAGAACCGCATACGATTGTCACGGTAGCAAAGGCCACCAGCGGGATAAGGGATATAGCCTGCTTTGTGAGGGTCGACAGTAATGGAGTCGGCAAAGCGCATGGCGAACAAATCATCCTGAGTTTGGGCACGAAGTGTCGCATCCGGTACAAAGCCATCGGCCGCACCCATGTCAGTGGGAAGATTCATGACATCTCCTGGCTGATAGTCCTTTGGCAACATGGAGCAGAAATATCCACCTGAAATGAATTTAGTGCATACAGTTGGAAAAGGAGTCAATTTTGGAAGGTTCAAAACACTCACCCCAGGCAGCGTCGGCATGAACAACAAAAGATAATCCTTTCGCTTGGAATTGCTTGCGCAGGGCTAGGACACCGCTTAGAGAGTCCACGGCACCCTCTTTGAAGTTAAAGTCAGCTTTTTGTCAGCTCAGTCCGTTCAGTTGGCTCTTTCTTACCTTCAGTGGAACCTATGATAGCAACCACCGCATAAACGGGCTGTCCTTTGTCGAGATTCTCCTGCAATTTCTTCTCCAACACGCCCAAATCCAGGCGCGCTCCTGCATCAACTGGAATGCCGATGACATTATCGGAGCCCAAACCGCTAATTGCTAGAGTATTTTATTGTGATCAGACTCCAATCAGTACATTGAAAGAAAGAGGCAATTACTTACCAGCACCCTTGGGCCAAGAGTAGTGCCTGGTATTCGACAACATGTATTGGCCGGGTAGTTCAAGCCCAAATTCTCGCTCTAGCTCATCTTTTCCAGTGGACTGGATGGTAAACTTCTTCATCACATCTGAAAGGAATGCATTTGACACCCCGTACTCCTGATATAGTCGATCAGGTAGATCAAGAATGTCGGATGGCTTCAAGTTGAGCAGATCCCAAGTCGATAGATCAGCGAACAACTTGGTTTCACCTTTACAAGTCTCAACTTTGAAAGCCTCCGACAGGAAGTTGAGTGCCTCGCCATTCCCAAAGGCCTTGCGAAGCGATAAGGGATAGAACTTCAGGTTTCGAGCTGAGAAGGTATCAGTAACCGATATTGTAAGGCGATAGTTGATACATACCGACCCTAGAAGTTAGTTGTTAGCGTTTGACAGTGTTGTAGAGACTGAAGGATCTTACCACATAGATTCCAGATTGGCAACGGTGCCGTCACAAGTCACATGGCCCCAGGAAGTAGGCGCTTCAGTGTTGTCCTCCTTGATGTTGTAGCCAAAGAGATCGCACAGCTGCTCGCCCACTTCTATCTCTGCCAAGGTTGACAGTGGACTGGCTTCGAACGCGACGTTGTTGGGATTGTAGAGCATCGTCATAAAGTATCCCAGCATTGAAGGCATGGTCAGGTCAGTGCACCTAAGTCAATCAGTTCAGGAATGGCACATCAAGAAGAGTCTAAGCGAAAAGCACTCACATGTGGGCTTCGTAACGCGGGGACCAGAACGGTATGCTTGACTTGCCCAAGATGTTGGAGGCCTTCCGAACGGCATTCTGGAGCTTGTCCATGGATCCGCGAAAAGCAGGCGTGTTCTGTGTCTCCTCATCGATGAAATTCTGCTTCATGTTAGCATCATGACCGTACTGTTTTGTACTTATCAAGTAGTTGAGTCTCTTGGTAACGCACTCCATCTTCAGGGTAGTAACTCTTTCGCGCACTCTCAAGTTCATCTAGAATGATGTTGATGTTCTCCTTAAAGTATGGAAGGTTCTTGGCTTGGGGCCCAATGAAATACGACGAGATGATCTGATGAGACTCATCCTCGTAGGTGGCCGTGGTATTGTACGCCGTGTTCTTGGAAGTCATGATGGAAGAATAGGTAAGGGGGTGGTTGATGAGTTTCGGAGGTAAGCTTGGGCGCCGTTTTCCACAACTGAAAGCGAGCACGAGGAGAAGCCTTATAAACACAATTCGGTTCAAGCAACCTCCAGTGGCCGCCTTCTGAATCTCGTTGAAACTTCTTTTGACTCTTTCGCGGTCAAACCAATGGGTAGATGGCACTGCATTTCGCAGTTTCGTGATGACGAAACGAGACTATGCAGGCTGGCGATCAACGACCGCTTTCGCCTTCTAGGACCTTCATGTATTCACCTATATACATGCAAGGTCTTTATCGAGTGGTTTGACCGGTCAGGCCTTGCATCTCGTATAATACCAGTTACAATAGCCCCTCACGGAAATGCCTTCCACATACTCACCGGTGTCATCTTAGCGAGGTTCCAATCAACTGGAAATTGCCTTTCCGTGAACAAAACCAACGAGTTATTGTGTGAAATATCGAAGATGTTCGATTCTCATGCATACCGTGCTGCCGTAGAAGGTTAGATCCGGGCGGGCCTCGCTCGAACTCGCAGCGGGAGCATGCGTGTCTCACATAGCCGAGGCCTATCATGGAAGAGACAAGCGACGGCTGCAACCCATTCTATGAGTGAATAATTGCACGACACGGAGCCACTGCATCATTGCCCTACGTTCTGTGATGAGGGGAACAGGAAGAAATTCTCAATGAGCATAGGCTGAAAAGAGCTGCCAGACAACCAATGTCGAACAGTGTTGTCCAGCCTTTTGTTTTGAGAGCAGGGCAGACCAATATGCACGACGAAAGGGGAGGAACCGATGTCGCCGAAATGGCCGCGCATTAAACTTGGCGAGGGACGAGGAACGAAGAAACTAAATTGACTGTATTACTCAGAAGCCCACAAAATTCCCAGGAAGTGGTGATACATCTAGTTCGATCGGGCATGATCCGGAACTATCACCGTCGGCCCGGGGAGATCGCTCCCAGAGTAGCACCGGGCACACAAACTGTTCGGCTACACCCGCACATGTTAGACTAGATCGAGCTGGCTGCAGGATAGGAGGGGTTTCAGGCTTGGCAGTCCACCTGTCGACTTTCATCTAGCCTGAGCCTCTCAAGTGGAGTTTTACGATTCTGAGACAGCGTGACAGACCCAGTAGGTATTCCGACGGGAACCGACTGAGCTGCACGAGTGAGGGGTTCGTGATTCACCGGTCGCTTTGCCAACTATGCATCTCATGTATGCACGAATAGTGACGTGGACGTCGCCCATTGTGCGGGGCAATGATACTAATTAGGTGTCTTAGTGATCTCATTCCAACAATTTGAACTTCGGATGGTTGCTCGCTTACACGGCTCCTTTGGTACCTGAATACACATCAGACTGGTTCAGATAGCGGACATCGGAATGGTGCTGATGTGATGAGTAAATCAGACTATTATATCGGCTCTATCTATAGGTTATAAGCTACGTACGAAATATTTCTTCGACTCATTGGCTCAGGTGCAGATCACAATTGCGAACTCTAGCCCTTCAAAGCGCACACTTGATGCCAATCAGAGTATTCCTAGTTTGCAGACAGGAGGGCTTTCCAAGCATCGACGATTGAACGGCTGGGGGCGGCTATCTCGATAACTTCTTTGCTTGTGGTTGACGCCGGGCATTTGCCTTCCCACAGAGTAACCGGTGCAGCTTTGATCGACGAGATTACGTTCTTAGACTCTTTTGTTGCTAGTACCATGGCGTCCACAAGGGACACATCTCTGAATTCGACATTGTCCACAGGCTCACCAATTGCCTCCTCCACCCACTGAACAATGTCTCGACCAGTCACATCCGTAGGCCCGTTCAGGACGTACTTCGCCCCATTATGCCGAGAAGGATCTTGATTCCACAGCAGATGAGCAGCAAAAGTGCCAATGTCGTCAGGGTCTATTGCGCCTACAGGTGCGTCCTTGTCGGCGATGAGCTTCAGGATTCCCTGCTGCTTCGTTTGACGGTATTCTTTGACAAACTCAACTGCACTGTATAGGTGTGCCGAGAAGAAAATATTTGGCTGCAGGGAAGTCCACTTGAGTTCTTTGAACTCCGGCGAACTCAACATGGTCTCAATAGCCCAATGAGTTCGCGGGTAGTAGGCCTCGAAGTCTGGACGGACGTTGGCACCCGTTGTGGAGATGCGCACGACGTACTGTACACCGGCCTTCAGTGCGGCCTGGTGGAAGGTCGATTCCTCGGCGAATTGGCTCGGACTGTTGTGTGATGCGATGAAAGCCTTGATGACGTTCTGTTCGCGCAGCCAAGAGGCATTGATATCGACCCAGTTCTTCTCGATCATTGTAACACTAGGGAGACTTGCGAGGTGTTGGGCGGTCGACGAATCGATGGAACGCGTAAGAGCAAGGATGCGGATATTAGGGGAACCATCGCTATTACTTAGAAAACTAGAGAGAGTCTCAACGACGCTTCGGCCAGTGTTGCCCGTTGCGCCGGCGATGAGGATTGTAGGAGTCATGATGGTTGGAGATTAAACTTAAAAGGATCGTGATCCTCGGGATTTGCTAGAATAGAGCTTGAGATGAATGCCTTGACTTGTTCTTTGAATCTCTTTAACTCTCTTGAATCGATAGTCGTACTCTTTTATGCCACGACACTTGTTCATCATTCTACGGCCTTTATATCTAAATTATGGCGAAGAGTCCTTGCGGAGATCTGTGCCGCTGCGGAGTTTGCGGACAACCCACCGGGACGTACACAAATCGCCGTTTGTAGAAACCAAGATTTTGTCACTAGTCCGCAACCAATTAGTCAGCTTTGGAATGTTATGTTAGCGTCGTGATGGCGTCTTTCACTCGAGATCACGTCTCTAATCGCGTAATTACGATTATCTGACCCTTAAAATCAATTCATTGGTGTTGTACGTAGGTATTTTAGCAAGACTTTCGTCCCTACTCTCCATTTCCAAAACACTGCATCTCTACTACACATTTCGATGCCCATGTTGTGACCAGGCGACTGCCCGCCAGAAGAGCAAGTACTTACTGTAATTTAGCCCGTTCTGCGAAAAACAATTCGGTTTTCTAGTATCGTAAGCTTAAGTTGATCATTTCGACAAGAAACAGGACTAGCATCAGCACTCCAGAAGAGGCCTGTTACGAGCGCTGTCACATGCTACTCACATGAGCTCCTTTGATAGATCCTTCTCTATTCCTCGTTCGCTTGGGTTCGAAAGAAACACTCCATTCCTACGCCCATTTCTGCGTGCCATGAATTGTAGGTTATCTGAACAAGTAAGCGAGGCCGCGGGCGTAGCTGGGAAAGCTACCACGCAGTCCGACTTTGAGCAAATTGCTTGTCTTGACGATACTATGTGTTGCGTAGCATGGTGAAATGAATTGAAAGAAACTATTTAAAATCACATTGCTCGCCTAGAGACGAAACCATATATCAATATTTATACGTTGGATTGGTTCATTGCGGCGCGCTAAGATGCTTTCGCCTATTCGCGTCTATTTTCGCTTTTCCGGTGTCATGTTACAATCGCTTTGCCTAGTCATTTCTGCTCTCAAAGGTGAGAGGAGCAGCGCCAGAGGCTAGAGACGGCCTCGGCAACAACCTAAGTCGACATCGGTCTACAACATAAACAGTCACGTCAGTCTTGATCGACTGTAATTACTCATTGCTAAGGGTACTTAATCTGCTAAAAACAACTTCCGCTGGTATTAGAGCAATCAAACTCCCATCATTGATAGCTACAGCCCTCGAGCAGTCAAGCTCAGCAAATTAGTTCGTAGGGGAATAAGATAAAAAAGGAGGGAAGCGGTTTCAGCACGTGGTGAACAGCTAGCTATCTGAAAAGTAGCGAGAGATACTGTTTTCGCGAGATATTCATTTCGGAAAGTCACCCACTGCCGCCCTCAGAGACTCGCCATCTTTGGAGCATTCAACAGCGAACACTCCGATCGAGAGAGATCTCTCTTCTCAACTCGGCTCGCTTGGCCTCGTTCATCCATTCGTTATCTGAAGTAAAATCTTTCAATTCCACGCTTGTAACTCTATACCTCGCTTCATATTCAATACCTGACTGATACCATCAGCAGCAGTAGTGGAGCAAGATCCATCGACGGGTCATTGCGCACCGAGCGATCGTCACAGGCCGTCGATCTTTTGATACAGTCACAAGCTTTCTCCCTACGGAAGCCGTAGCAAGCTTCGCGGGAACGGTGGGCTTGGATCAGATCTGGGGAATAATCCCCGGACTACTCAGTCTCTTTCACGATCGTGCTGGAAACCCCGCACTGGGGTAATGACCCGAAGTCGGGGTAGTTCGTCACGAAGCATCTGGGGTAATGGCCCGCGAGAATCCCTTGCAGCAGACGCGACGCCTTTGCATGTTCAAGTGTCTGGAGCAACCTCACGATCGGAATAGCTGCGATACCATAGGCTCGTTTTCCGACGTTTTCTTTTAGACGTCTTGGGCACACCATTAGTGTCCTTTAGTCTCGTCTTCGTCCCGGCTTATGTCGGGCACCGTTCGGATGGCGCCTGTTGTAGCGCCATCACCCCTGGACAATCAGAAGAATCCTTGTAGCACCACCTAGTCTAAGCATGTTTGTTCACCACCAAACGATGACTTGAGTTATATTTCGGCGGGCTCTTGCCCGATTGTTGAATCGCAGCCCACCGGAGGCCGAAGTTCAGCGCGCTACTCGAAGTGGCTTTTGCGCTCTACTTGAACTAGTCCAGGCACTCGTATTTGATCAAAACTAACCTCGTAAATCAAGAGCTTGCACCAATTACAACGTGGCTGGCCTCAGGCGAGAACTTCCATAATTTGAGAGTGCAGTTTGGAGCCCTCACCATGAAGAATCCACTTTCCCCTGGCACTGTCGCTCAAATGTATGCATAGCATCTCTCAATGTGGTTAAAGGCACGATGAATGATCGACAACGTTTCCACGAGCTAGCATTCGATCGTTGTCAGAATCGTTGTCAGAATCGTTGTCAGTCCCGTTTGGCTCCATACAGTTGCGTAGAGTCTCTAAAAAGAGCTCTTGCATTCACCCAAGCTTGACAGCTAACATTAGCCCGAAGCATAGGATATAAACACGCGCCGTTGAGCCTCGACAATCATCCTCGTCTGCCCCTTCACCTGCCATCTATCCTCATACCATCTTGTTACCGCACTTGCTGCCATGTCGGTCAACATCTTCGACTTGCAATTTGAACAACACCGTTCGGCTTTAGGCATCCATCAGACCGCGCCACGAATATCTTGGCGCTTCGAAGGCGATGCCGCAAACTGGACGCAGCTTGGATACGACCTCGAGATTACGAGACAGGGAGCCGCCCAAGTCTTCCACGTCGATTCCCAAGACTCGGTCTTCGTCCCGTGGCCGACCGTTCAGCTGAGCGAAGGCGAGTCCGCCTTCGTACGCGCCAAAGCCTACGGGAACAACGGTCAACCAGAGACCTCCTGGTCTAAATCAGTCGCCGTCGAAACCGGTTTGCTATCATCGGAGTCTTGGCAGGGAGCACTAACTATCACGACGCTTGATAAGAGGGCTGATCGTAACGCCACCCAGCACCCGGCACTCTTCAGGAAAGACTTCTCTGTCGATGGCGAAGTGCAGTCGGCGCGACTCTACATTACTGCTCTTGGCATATACGAAGCGGAGCTGAACGGTCAACGCGTCGGAGATTATGTCCTCGCCCCGGGTTGGCAGTCATACGCGCACCGTCACGTATACGACACGTACGACGTCACTGCCGCGCTGAAGTCCGGCGACAACGCCATCGGCGTGAGCATCGGGGAAGGCTGGTTCTCCGGCCGACTCACGTGGGGTGGTGGGATCAACAACGTCTACGGTGAGGATCTCGGGCTCATGTCTCTGCTCAAGATCGGCTACAAGAATGGGACGACTCAGTACATCGGCACCGACGAAACTTGGAAATCTACTGAAGCGCCAACTTACTCATCCTCGATCTACGTCGGCGAATCCTTCGACTCGCGTCTTGTACAGCAAGGCTGGTCATCCCCCGGCTTCGAGAACCAGACTGCTTGGAAAGGGGTGCGGCCTACGCTTGGCCCAAGCCACCTCGTGCACGCCGACGGCCCTGCCATACGTCGCGTCGAAGAAGTCTCCCTAAAAAGCGTCACTTCCAGCCCCAAGGGCGCCACCTTGCTCGATTTCGGACAGAACCTCGTCGGCTGGCTGAGGATCAAGGTCAACGGCCCAAGCGGGACGACCATCAAGCTCACCCACGCCGAGGTCCTCGAGAACAGCGAGATCGGAACACGTCCCCTACGAGGCGCTCTCCAGACAGACTACATCGTTCTGAACGGAGAGGGCGAGCTCACGTGGGAGCCTAAATTTACCTACCATGGATTCAGATACGTCCAAGTCGAAGGATGGCCGCAGGAAACGCCGCTGGATAGCAACAGCGTTGTAGCTGTGGTAGTCCATACCGATTTACCTAGGACCGGATACTTCAGGAGCAGCAATGACAAGCTGAACAGGCTTCACGAGAACGCTTTGTGGTCTATGAAGGGTAACTTTATGAGCGTTCCTACGGATTGCCCACAAAGAGATGAGAGATTGGGATGGACCGGAGATGTCACTGCCTTTGGGCCGACGAGTGTCTTTCTCTACGATACATCTGGATTCTGGAAGGGATGGATGAAGGACGTGAATGCTGAGCAGGCTGATGCTGGAGGTGAGAGAACCAAACACTCACTTGGCCGACTGCGCCGATGACTGACTGTTGCTCTCAGGAATTCCGCCCGTGCTAGTCCCTCACGTCCCCCAAGGATGGACAGCCGGCGGATACCCGGCCACCGCCATCTGGGGCGACGTAGCCGTCATCCATCCGTATACCATCTTCCAAGCCTTCGGCGACTACGACCTCCTCCGCGAACACTGGTCCGGTGTCAAACTCTGGCTCGATAACGGCATTAAGCGCGATCCTAGCGGGCTGTGGGACCGTTCCACCTTTCAGTTCGGCGACTGGCTCGACCCGCTCGCCCCTCCTTCGGACCCGGGCGCCTCTCAAACCAATAAGTTTCAAGTTGCCGACGCCTACCTCGTTTATGGAACCGGCCTAGCTGCGCAGATGGCAGAGTGGCTTGGGGAGACGGCAGACGCAGAACGGTACAAGATAGCGTACAAAGACCTCAAGACCAAGTTCCAAGAAGTATGGATCAATCCGGACGGCACGATAAAAAGCGAGACGCAGACTGGGCTCGTTTTGCCTCTATACTTCGGTTTGATTCCCGACGCAGAAAGTGCTACGCAACGTCTTCGGGATATCATCGAACAGAACCAGTACAAAGTCGGGACCGGCTTCGCCGCAACGCACTATCTCGGTCTTGGTCTCTCCGCTGTCAACGCGACGGACACCTTCTACGGCATGATTCGTCAAGAAGAGGTCCCAGGCTGGCTATACCAGGTGAAGATGGGCG